CGATGTGTTAGTTTAAACCCCTGATGAAGGGGTTGGGTGTGTGTTTGTTTGTTGGTTTGTTTTGTTTTTTTTTCAAAAAAGGCAGCAAACTTCACCAGAATTTTCCAGCTGTGAACTGCTAGAGCTGAAGCACCTGCACATGGTGCTTTCTGCAGTGCCAATGGTTGGTGACATATGGAGGAGCAAGCAACGTCCAAGATCATTGCAGCAAGATTTGCTAGGCAGTCCTCATCCAAGTTGGAGAGGTTGAATTATTCTGGGTTAAAGAGGCTATAATTCTTCTGATACTTGAGACCAGGGTAAGTCCTCAGCAAGTTAACTCAGATGTGTGTATAGCCCTCAAATGTTTGTGTAGCTTAGTTGGAAAGCTTTCATCTCACTCCTAGCTTCAAATGTGACATACAGGAAAGAAAACCATGGCCATATGAAATGACGTCAACTGGGAAAGCCACAGCTGCCCTAAACAACTAGGGCAGAACATCTTTGAACCAAGTCTGCCCTGCTCTGGGAAATGTTACACCAGTTGCAGTCCAGACAGGATTATACCCAAGAAACCTAGTAATTTATCTGCAATTTCTTAGTGACTAGTTACCTCTGAGGTTTTGCTGACTTACTCCTGATTTAAGGCCTAAATAAAAAATAGCATAAAAGAGTAAAAGAGGAATTACACCTACTGTGGAGTGAGCATGGAAAATATATATGGAAATAACCTGCAGGTAAGGGATAAGCTTCAATTCCTAATTTCACTCCTCCTTTCACTTTTCAAGTCTTAAAACAAAACACAAAAAACAAAACAAAAAACCCAAACAAAACAAAACAAAAACAGAAGAGTTGTAAACACTCTCCACTGATTTCCTCTGGCTGACCTCCATAATGACACATTTCTTTCACTACAGTGGTCCTCCACCACCTTCATGTTGTGCCCTGCCCCAAACCATGGGGCTAAGGGTCCCCACACTGCACTGTAGGGTAAGCCTCCATCATGCAGCTGGAGCTGCACAAGCTTCTCTCCCATTGCTCTTATGTTTTCTTTGGTGTGCAATAGATTTATAGATAGCTTTTAGAGCTGTAGGTGTTTAAACAGCCTTCAGTCAAGAAAAAAAAATAATAAAAATCCCAAAATACAATTCTTCATAGTTACCCACTAGCAAGAAGCAATTGATCATTAACTTTCATGCTCTGATCTTCCACAAGCAGACTTTCCAGGTACTCCAAACTAATCATTTTCTTAGGAATTCACAGATAAAGTTAACAGGAAGGAGTTACCTCGTGGGACCCGAGAGCTGCAGGAAGTCTTTTGGCAGAAATACCTTTCCTTTACCAGCCTCAAGTCTGTAAGATCCCGAAACAAAAACTTGTAGGTGAAGCGTCAGTCACACCAGCATCAAAACTCTCAGTGACCTGTACCTGCCCAGCACACCAGACTCACGTCACCCCCTTGAGCTCACCCACACACACCCCTTCCCTGTCCACATTGAGTCCCTTTTAGCAAGAGGCTGCCAGAAGGGTCATGAGTCAAGCACGCTTGGCTAAAAATACTCTCCAACGCTATCCCTCATCTGCCTCACTGTTGTCCACCTCATCCTCTGCCTTGATGCTGGATGTCCTTCAAGCTTCCAAGTTGTTCACAAAGCACCTACTGCTACCAGAGCTAGCACCAGCAAACCCCAGGAGACAGCCACATCCTAGCACTGGGCACAAACCGGCGTGGCAGGTATTTGTGGCTGAGGAATCCTCCTCCTTAGTCATTATTTTACTCCCCCTGGTCAGGCTAAAGTAAGTTCACAAATTTCTGTTTATTCACTATTCATAATTCAAATACAAGTGAAATTAAAAGGATCTAGAACAGCAATCTAGTTAAGAAGTTTAATGAACACGAATAGCATTTTAGAAATAGTCTATTATAAAGCACTTGAACTAATTAAGTTTACTCCATGCCCAAAACCCTTAGCATTCTGCATTAAGAAAATGAAAGCCTTTTAAAGAAACCTTTAAAATGCTGAATCGCTGCAGGTAAGATCTGAACAGGCAACAGTGAAACTAGCCACATTTGCTATCACATCTCACGCAGTAGCACAAGCAAGTACAGAAGAGTTAAATACACCCCTATCCCCAAAAAACCCTATTCTTCTTTGTAACAGGTGAAGTCATTTCACAGTGAAGGAGGTGATAATTTTGGATGCATTAGCTCTTCAGGATCTCTAAAAAATTACAGATATGCATACTCTTACTATAGATATGTATCCTCCTTCCCAGGAACATTGTCTAACAATAAAATAATAAAAAAAAGAAACAAACCCCAAACAGAGGTAACGGCCGAGGCAGAGAAAGCCTAGCTTATCTTCTCCAGGGGAACCTGTGCACTGGACCTTTGAACTAATGTCTTTTTTCCCTTGTTTACACAAGGGAAGTTTCTTAATACCATCTTAATAGCATACTTATTAGCAGAAATATACATAAACAATAGATTTCCAGAAGCCTGATGAAGCTTGAGCTAGCTGTAATCCAAAATAACAACGCAATTCCTAAGAGGATGCATTATCTTTACACTGTCCTAGCTTGGGCTTGGTCAAACACAGCAAAAGCGTAAAATTGCTATGTTAGAGGTTAAAAGCAGGAGGAAAAAAACCAAGTCAAATAGAAGAGCACACAGGTGAGGAGACAGAAGATACTTGTGATCAAAGGGTGACACAGCATGGGTGTTTTATTGATCTTGCAGGAGTCCAGCCAACAACCCTGCCAAGGGGTCGTCCACGCTCCTCCCCACGGCTGGGGCTGCTCTACTTGTAACAGGCAGAGAAAACCTCACCAGACCGCTCTTGCTGAGGCCAGCCCCGGGGCTGGCACAGGCAGCAGCAAGGCCCCAGCTCACCCCGGCCAGCCTGAGCGAAGCAGGTGCCAGCTATTTTTATGTCCAAACTGCTATTTACATCTGACCTGTTATTAAGTTCAAAGGGAGAAGCAGTCGCAGGAACACCACCAGGAAGGCAAAGCGATGTGCTCCTGGTTCATCCGTGAAGAAGAGGAGGCTATGGCTGGGAGGGGGCATGTGGTCACGGCCCTGAAATGCCCAGTGGGCTGCAGGAATGGTTTGCTCTGCCTGAGATGCCAAAAAGCCCTGACCCCTTCCTCTCCATGCATCACACAACCCACTTCTGACGGCACCAGACTGTGGGTAGCACACACTGGCTTGGGCTCTTCTCAATGTTTCTAGGTACCAAAATGCATGCAGTTCGTAAATAAAGGAGTGCGGCACAAAATTATTAAATTTTGAAGTCCTACAGGATGGGGCACTGAAGGAGGAGTCAAATCTTAAACTGATTTAAATGTCTTAACTGATTCACCAATTCATTTTCGTAACACAGATCTCAAGGGACTATTCAGAATGTAATCAAGTGGCCAACTATGCGCAAGGAGTCCACAGCAGATCATCTGCAAATTGATAATTACTTGAAAATCTATTTCAAGTAAATCATCCTCCTGCTACAAAAATCTTAGCTTCTAAGATCTTTCGCAAGATTATTCATTCCCTCATGTCACACTTAAAAGGATGCCAGAATTACTATATCCTGGACTGTAACTGAAGCCGTTCAGTGCGAGCAGCTTTCCTAACGAGGGACCATCTTTTCAGTGAGATCCATTATATATCTCAGGATTTGATTGAGGTATTTAGTATCTTTTTTTTTTTTTCCCCCCCATAAATGCAAGAGCTGAGCAGTCTTCTAATCTCTAAAACAGCAAATGCCCAGCTTCTACAGCTGCAGTAATTAAACCAACTTCTCATGCCATTACCCACATCAAGTCTCTTCCTCAGCATCTGCTCTATTCCCACACTGCACTCTTAAATCAAACCAAGATAAGCTATTTTCTAAGATCAGCTGACTTGTCTCTCCCTTGAAATCACTGCAGCCAAAACAATTCTGAACAGATATGAAGCATCTTGCTAAATATCCAAAAGGTCTCTTATAAAGAGAAAAAAAATAGACGTCAATGCATGTGGGTATTTTTAGCACCTGAGTTGTTCTATATTTATTCCTTTATGTCTATCTAAAAAAAAAGCATGATCTCTGATGAAGCATTACCAGAAAATATATTCTACTGCAAAGTCTGCTTTATGACTCTTAGCTACATGAGCACTGCAACAAGTACATCACGCCACCCATTCAACCAACCATACAAGTCTAAGGGTTAGCAGTGTACACAGAATAATGTTTCCTCAGTTTCAAAGAGGTGCTTAAAAACCCAAACAAATAAACCAACCCCAAAAGCAAACTCCCCAGCATAATCTTTTTGTCATTCTGCTTAGATGCAGTGCTTCAGCCTCAAGCTTAAAAACTGCCACCTTGAAGTATTTCTAGTTGTCTAACCCTCAAAAAAACTCCAGACACTTTGTGGGTTACCTGTTAAAAACCAAAACAAATCCACCATCCCCAATTCCAGGACATGCTATGCTTCACCTTAACAAAACCTCAAGTCAGCAGCAACAGCAGCAGCTCAGGTCATACAAATATTCAGGCAATAAAAGACTACTTATCTCTTCCTTATACTTTTTCCTTATAGCTGCTACCTTCTTGACCTGAAAACTCCTGCCCCGTTACCTCCAATGTGTTTACCTTAATAACCTTGTAGCTCTGATCTTATGCAAGTTACCTGAAGATTTATTTTCAAGGACAGGATACAGATTATCAAAGGGTTATTTGTGTGGGAAGAGATATATCAGATAGTCAGGAAAAGCAGAACTGTGTCAAGGAAGCTTCTCCTGGCTGGAGTAAGCTTGCATTAAAAAAGAAAGAGAAAATAAAGTAGTTTAAGATAGGGTCTTACATCCACAAAATCTGGAAGTATTTTGAAGGTAACAGTATTTTAATTTCCTTATCTAGAAAGATAGTTGTTAGGTATCCACAGTTATTTTAGATTTTTGAGTTATGCTAGACCTCCTGCCACAGACATCAAAACAGCAAAAGGGGGAGTGTGTGGGAAGATACTGGCAAAATACTTACCTCTGTATATAAACTTGAAACTGTTTCCTCTGACCTTGAAGGACTCCGTCTTCCTTGCAGATACTCCCTACCTACAAGACAGACACGTCTCATCACTCAGCCATACCCCCCCAAGTATTTTTCCAACTGGCATTACCTACATGTTTGTCAGCTCTCTGATCCCAGGGCAAACAACAGACAGTTGAGGGACTTCAGAGCACAAAACTACAGCAGAAACATTTCAGTGCACACACTGGTATCAAATGAGTAAGTTTGGTCAGTGGCAGGTTCTTACTACGTTCATAAGGGCAAAACTAGGCACAAGGTAAAATAAAGGATTTTCAAATAATTATAGGCTTTCCAAGTTAAAAATGCCTCAATAATCTCAGACCGACCCTTGTATATTTGTTTTTGAAGACCTTGCACTGCATCACTATTGCACTATGCAAGGCAGGAAGACTTCAGGTTAATTTTACGCAATTTTAAAACAAGCTGCTCTGAAGGCTTTCAACCAGGCAAACCCACCCAGCTGTCCTACACAGTTTTTAACCGTTTTTCTACGGACTAAAATGTTTCCCATCCAGCTGTGGGTTCATTTGAGTCTTCTGTAGAACACTGAAGACAAGGAAATAACTAGCTTGAATTCAGTGGCAGGTTCTTACTACTTTCATAAGGGCAAAACTAGGCACAAGGTAAAATAAAGGATTTTCAAATAATTATAGGCTTTCCAAGTTAAAAATGCCTCAATAATCTCAGACCGACCCTTGTATATTTGTTTTTGAAGACCTTGCACTGCATCACTATTGCACTATGCAAGGCAGGAAGACTTCAGGCTAATTTTACGCAATTTTAAAACAAGCTGCTCTGAAGGCTTTCAACCAGGCAAACCCACCCAGCTGTCCTACACAGTTTTTAACCGTTTTTCTACGGACTAAAATGTTTCCCATCCAGCTGTGGGTTCATTTGAGTCTTCTGTAGAACACTGAAGACAAGGAAATAACTAGCTTGAATTCAAGAATTGTCTCCTCGTAGCCACACAAAATTCAGGGGAAAAAAAAAAAGGAAATTCTCTAACAGTAACATCCAAAACCTTAGAAAGATAAATCAAATGCTGCATATCCTCTCTGTTTATTAAAAACAAACAAACAAAATACATACTTTAACCAAAACAAAGTTAGGGTTTGCTTAAGAGAAGTACATCTGTGGGAGAAGGGACACCATATCCAACTTATTTTTTTTAGACAATTTGTCTACCTTTTGTGACTTGGATAATCCCTTTTTCAAAATGGATTAAATTCCAGAATAAGCATGTCAAGAAAAGTTTGTCCAGAAACATGCACTATGAATGAACTGGGCTGTGCCTCTGGCAATCTTCCCTTCTGCTATATTATTTAATACTCAAATTAAGCTGTTTTGTGGCTTTTGTTAGTACTCAGGTGTAGAACCGACCACATATAACCTGTGCGCATAAAGGACACTATGCAGCTAGATACAGCCCATTTGTAACTACAGACACAGAGGTGGTCACATACCCTTCTCAGCACTAGAGCCATCTGACGTGTTTCTCTGATGCAGACATCCTGCAGATATGAGCTGGTTCCTTAACATGAGCCGCAAACACAAGACTCACAAGGACACATCCAAACAAACAACTTGGGAAGTCACTCCCAGGACAGCCATGCTGCATTTAAGAACACATGAGCTACAAAAATAGCTTCTTCCAGAGGAATTAAGACTGCAACAAGACCTCCAGCACCTGCCCCTGTTTGCTGGAAAAAGCAACAAGGGAAGTTCAGCAAGAACACCACCGAGCCCTACCCACAGCCAGCATCAAAAGCACCAGGGAAGCTGCAGGCCCAACTGATCTACACATTAATCCACAGCACCGTCCTGCTTTTGAAGGGAACGCCCTATTGCTTCTGCAACTTGGACCACAGAATGGTACCACAAGCCAGATTCCCTTTGGAGGAAACCAAATCAGAAGATCCGCCTAGCCTGTGACTCTAAACCCAGCTGGTGACACAAGCTGGGGCCAGTGTCATCACACAAGAGAGACTGTGGGACAGCGCAGTCTCTATATTTCTCGTTCCCAGACTCTGCGCAAAACTCCTATGAGAGAACACTGATGTTCAGGGAATGGACACTTCTCTTTGACCATTCTCCCCCCATGGCCAGCACCAGCAACATTAACACCTCTGATTCCAACCCAGGTAAGCACGCTGCTTTTCTGTACCCATTGCTAGGGAAAAAGGATGTGTGCATATGAGCCTTCAAGCTGAATTACAGCATGCTGATCTTGGGTCTGCAGAGTCAATCACCACCAGCAGTCTGATTGGGAAAGCTGTCATGCCTTCAAAAGCAATGCCACAAGGGCAGATGATTGCTGTCACTCATAGCATGGCAAGCAGCTAAACTAGAAAACATCTCTCCACTCCTTGCCCTGTACAATAGGCTTGCTCAGCCCTGCTGACCAAGCACACCTCCCACCTCCCCAGCATATTCTGCTAACGTGGCCCACAAAGGCCCTGACTATAGCCTCCTCCTTCTCCAGCACAGTGGCACAAACCCAAAGCAGATGAGCCTAGGTCACCCCTTCAATCCAGGTGAGTTGCCGTGTGGCACAGAGCCCTGTGTTATATCAATACAGCAAGGACCAAACAGGTTGGTTTTCTCTCCTCCACAAGGTCCTCTGATGTAGAGAAGGTCTCAGAGGCAAAGACAGCCCCTACTCATCAAACCCAGGCAGCAGCAGGCCAAGCCACTGTAGCATCCCTAGTCTGAGGAGGTACTTTGGAGGAGGAGAAGAGAGCAGTGGGAGACCCTGGGCTGGCACAAGGACTCACAGCAGGCCCAACAAAGGGGTTTGGTTCAGCTCAATGCCAGATGGGCAGAGAGCCTGGTGAGGTGGTAGTCCCTGCAAAGACCTTCATCTCCATCTCACCTCATAATGACAGACACCACCGGGTACAGCAGGGCAGAAGCAAGGGGAAGGCTGTCAGCCCCAGTGACAGCTGACACACCCCCCTCAATCTACAGACCTTCTACCCAAGTATTTAAGTTGGGCCAAGATGACAGCACAACAACAGGCTCCATATAGAGACTTCTGTTATCACAATTAACAAAGAGGTCTCTGCCCTTCTGATTATTGTTAATAAAAATAATCCTGGCCTAATCCTCCAAAGGCACACTTGGGATACGGGACACCTGTATAGTTTGTCATACTCCTTGACTACCCTCATCCTGGAAACTCTAGGCACCACTGCCTTCCCTCACCAACCTCTTCCCTTGAGGTGGCAGCAGCTAATACTGATCTTACCAAACTTGCCTTCCCTTCCTTACCCCAGCAAAGCATAGAGACACTGCCCCTCAAGCCCACTCCCCTTCCTCTGAGTGGCAGATCACTCTGTCAGATGAGGTCTCCTCAAAGGAGTATGACAGCAGTAACAAGCACAAACCTGGACACGAGGAAGCCCCAAAGGGCTGGAGGCCCAACAAAAATGCTACCAAGAGTGATCAAAAGGGACAAAAAGGGATGATTGATTTGAGTGCCACCAGGAACAGGGTGCACAGACACGTGTCTGCACAGGCATGCAAATACGGGGAGGGCAGGTTAAGCAGATCCAGAGTAGGCTTGAGTGCCACCGGAACAGGGTGCACACACACGTGTATGCACAGGCATGCAAATACAGGGAGGGCAGGTTAAGCAGATCCAGAGTAGGATCTGGAATATCTTGCTTTTTATTCGGCGCAGGCGTGTTCACACACTAATAAGTTATAGCACATAGTTTTGTTCTCCCATCCACTTTGTCTGCTCCCTGCCACTGATCACGGTGATTTTCCTCTGTGCTAAGTGTCCTAGATGAGTGTCATGATGGGTGCTCCAACTCTTTGAAGCCAATGTGGGAGGCTGAAATTACAGCCTCAGAAAAGGTTCACCCACATCCTCACTGTCCACAGCAGCCACCTGTGATTCAGAGGGCACTGGAAATATTCATGTCTCACCTTTTGTGCAGGCAGAACCATGTTGCACGTTCCACCTCAGTAATGCAACATATGAGGCCATGGCCCGGAAATACCTTTCCATGGTCCAAAGCTGGCAGGACTGCCAAGGGCTGCCCCCACTGTTTACCCAACAGCAGTCCTGGGCCAGGCACCAGGCTGGAATCAATACTGCTCACACTGCCTGGGGATCTACAGAGGGTAAAGACCCGGGTTATCTTGTTGATAACTACCACTACGTGGAGGTAAAAGGTTTGGAACATAGCCTTGGAAACCTTGATCAAAACTACACCCAGACCGGAATTGCTCACCCCACATCAATTCACCACTAGTATTAGGAACTGAGGGTCACGAGACCTCACAGATGACAGTCCCTCTTTTGCGCAAGGTCTGGGCTGCTAAAATTTCATTCGGTGAGAGCAGAGATGCTGTACCACCTGATAGCAGAAGACCTTGACTGTACCTCTTCACATACAAAGTCTCTGTGCCCCACTGCTGGTCGTTTCATGTCTCGAGCAACAGCATCCCACCGACCATGCTTCCCCACCAGGGCCAGAGAAAAAGCAGCTGCAAAACTTCAGAGAAAGCTCTTACTTCTGCCTTCTTCCCCAAACAACAGGACATCCAGAAAGGCGAGAGTGTGGTCTTTTGGGTGTGCTCCTGGAGCAGCTGATGGTGAAAAACACCCATCTCCCTTGACATCACTAATTTCAAGAGTCAAGAGGAGATCCAGGCAGCAGGTTGCATAGGTCACTCAAGCGAGCAAGAAAAGAAATAAAGTTTGTTCCCACAAGAGGCTTACACAGACACTACTGACAGGACAACGGCATGCTAGCATCATCCCTGCGAAACAGGGAAGAGGACAATTCGACTCTTCCTGAAAAAACACTCTAAAGAACAGAGGTTAGTGGGACAGCTTTCCTTCAGAGAGCTCTGCAGCACACAGACAGGAAGGACAGTCAGTCTAGGGAGTAGGCGAACTCAAATTCAAAGAACATTAAGTAGACAGAGCACGTAAAACTGAAATATGATCTCCTGGCCTGCTCCTACTGCACTACACATGTCATTTAACACAGACATGGCCAGCCACAAG